GCTCAGAATCCTGTTTGCTTCCTTATATAATTTTATTTAAAAGCACGCAATAAGTGGGTTGAGTCGGTGGCCAACGCCGAGATCGGGTTGAATGGAATAAGTGAAGTCGGCAAGCAATATTTCTTGACATATTGTTTGACATTATAAAGAAGGCATGATAAATTTTTTTTATTTCCATTACGTGCTCAAAATTGGCGCTTTCGCTTCCCTTACATCTTTTTGTCGATGATATTTTTCTCTCCTCCTCCCATGAGCTGCTCGCTTTCCGTGCTGCACTGCCACGTTTGTTTGCCTTTCCCTTTTTCTTCAGTACTTTTTTATTCCGTTTTATTTCTATTGTGCTTCAGGTGTATCTAATAAAGCTTCATTTTTATGATAAGGCAGTCATATGCTCGGCTAAAAATAAAAATTGACAAAGCCGTAATAGCAAAAGCTTAAGTAGCAGTGGCGGTGGCGACAGAAGCGGCAGTGGCAGCGGCAGCGGCAGTCAAGAAAGCGAGCAAGGAAGCAAAATGGCGCAACGGAAACGGAAGTGATACACACAATGGCGAAAATATCATAAAACGAAAAATTTTTTTTCTCGATTTATGTTGCCGTAATTTTGAAGGACGCCAACGGCATTAACATTTAATGTGCCAGCCCGTTCCAGTGGGCGAAGGGTGTTGTATGTCAATGGCTTTCGTGTGCCTGTTTCAGTTATTCCCTTTGTCACCGTTGCTGCAGCGCCTACTTTAGAATTGGTTTCGGTTTCGGGACAACTGTTATTGGCAACGCATATATGACAATGTATAAAACATGAAAAGTCCATATTCATGCGTGAATTTTGATGGATGCGCCATAATGGCATGTGAGTGTAATGTGTGTGCGTAAGTGTTCGGCATAAATTTTCGACAGTTGAGTTATTTTCACTTTGGAATGCCAAAATTTAGGTAGGTACACACATACATACGCATATATACGTACCCGACCATATGCTGTGTGTAAACTTTTTGCTTGACCTCATTTCTCTTCCCTAAATTTTTTATGAATTCTATTGAGTTGATTTAAGGTATGATACGGATTATGTAGGAGTTCGTACCGTGTCCAATCCGGATTCGGCTCTTTGATATCTTGTTTACTCATATGCATGTGCTGCAAAGTTCTGCCATTTGGGATTTTTCTGTATGCCGAAAAGTTCGAAAGATTTGACAATTCCTAATACTTACGGAGGTCGGGTATATATATTTGTCTGATCACAATTGGTGGCAACGTTTCAACGTGTAAATGCTGTAAATGAAATAAAACTTTTAAAATAAATATTGCCACAAATCGACAAATAAGCAAACGTAGTCTGCTGACGGTGTCACTATAGTTTTCTTCTCGGTTTCAATTGCACTCTGCTGCAGATTACAAAGCCAGAAAGGTATATTTTCACAAAGCTGCATAGAAAATTTTTACTTCTTAATAAAAATTTATTGGGTCATTAAGTTTGAAAATTGTAATCCGTTAAAGGAAACTGACAGGATGACACTTGTACCATATTGCGAATAGTTCCATGGAATGTTAGTAGGAAAAAGATTTGTAAGAGTATGTAAAACAGTAATACGAGTAGTTAAACACCACTAATACCAGTTGAACCAGTATTCAGATTTCTTAGAAAACTTATACAAATAAATTGTAAAATCTGAATTTTATTTAACTTACAGGTGTTTCCTAGGAGCTTGAAATGTTAAAGCTGAAGGCGCTTAACGTTTATTATAAATCACCATTAAGTCGTAACTTGGCACTTTGTAGAATTTGTCTTCTATTATTGTCTCATTGTACTATTGTGTTACTTGGTTTAAATTAATTAAAAAGGATTTTAAATCGGGGATCAAAAAATTTATTGAAATTTGATAGAGCAGATTATTTAAAAGCTATAGTCTTTTTTTATTTCCTTCGTATTGTCTGAGGGAGCAGGATTTTACTTAGATCCTTTTACTTACATTTCGCGTAAAACAAGGCATATTTTGATGGCTTGGAATGGCTTGGAAATTCATCTGCTCAATTCAGTACTAAGGAAGGTTATAACTACGCTTTGTCTTGTGTTAAAGGTCTTGTGTTAAAGGAGTAGTGTTTAATTTTTTAATAAAATGAAGGTGTTTTCATTTCATTTCATTTAGTAATTGCCATTTTATCATTAAATTTTATAAAATTAAACCGACAAAAATATTATCGCATTTAACCACGGTTCTTCCGTGCATCTTCAACCGGTAGAGAATAGTACTCGTATCAGTTCTTCATGTGTGTAGTAATCCTTGTGCTGCGCATAGTGAAATAAACGCAAACGATTTCACAGTCGTGCTTTTGGTGTAGAGATAGTTATTGTGACACCTATCGCGTCTATAGTTTTTTCATACTCAATCGCTTGTGAAAAACTGTGTGAAATATGGTATTTTTTATATGGAACTGCGGTCGAAATAATTCACATATTCGCTGGGTCTAAGAGCGCTGCCTGGCTGCTGAGAGCACATGGTGACTTGCACCCATTTGTCCATTCATGAAATTTTATTCGATTTTTCTCAAAATTTTTATGTAATTTTTTGAATTTTTGTGAATTTCTATATTTTTCAAATAAATGCAGGTCTTAAGAACAAAGTGCGAGTGCCTTTTTATAGATTTGCTGAAAATTCGAAAAGAAAAGTAGAAACGAGAATTTAAAGAACATTCTTCGTTTGCCACTTGACCTGATGTGAATAATCAGAAAAAAAAACGGAATGATTATATTTACAGAATTGTTAGACCTAACAAAACAGAGAGCTGTAGTGCTTCTAATATTCATTTACTAAGCATTCAATACACTGTTTAATAGTTCAGATAAATGTTTCTCAATTTTCTTTGTAATACGCCTAATATAAAACCTTAGGTATAAAAACCTTAGGTTTTGGTGTCTTAGGTAATGTTTGCCCAACGAAACATATATAAGCGACTTACACATTTTTTTTTGTTTCGGTAGGAGTATGTAGCTTAAAGCAACCAGTTGAGTAACATTAAAAACAAAATTAATATTCAATTCAATGCAAACATAAGTGGACATTCTTACTTCATCAACAAAACCCCTAATCGCTTAAATTAGCACGTTAATTTATAAACGAGTCCATTCTTTCTCAGTTGTTCTAAATACGGTTGTTCTAATCAGTTGTTCTAATCAGTTGTTCAAATTAGATCACTTAAAGTGGTCACTTAAGTCGGTATGTCTTATTAACGCATACGTCCTAGCTATGAGATAGGTACTCTGAATGGCAGACTCTGACTTTAAGAAATACTGATTTGCATGATGAACTTTACATGTTTTGGAGATATAAATAGTTACCAAGTTTTTGAGGCTTGTTACTTCTGAAAGCTATTCTGTAGGATTACTTAAATTTTTGTGTTTAAGCTTATAATCCTTACATTATGGAGGAATCGAGAACGAACATATGCTAAGTTATAGTTAGGCCAACAGGTTAGTTAAATTTTCAGTACCGTAAGATGCCACATAGAAGATATTGTAATATTGTTGCATTTGACAGTTATAGTTCAAAATAATATATTAAAACAAAGATTGAATCAAATCTTTTATGACAAGTGTATTTTATTTATGCATATACTGCTGGAACCTTAAAATGGATAACCCTGTAGTTGTTTGGGTTTCGCAATTTATATAACTATTTAAAGCAGTCGATGTGGAACTCAGTGTCATTGCTTACTCAATGAATTTTATGCATCAGATCCAAATCAGGTAGCCAACCTGATTATGAAGTTCATTTGTGTCGTCAACAAATTGTTACTTAACAACCAATAGATGTAATGAAAATGCACTGCGCCAAGACTGGGAATTCAGTTAATATAAATGTCAACTCCGGTGCAATTTCTCATTTAGATTGCCACCACAAATGCAATTGATTTGTACAAAGGCTGCAATTATATTTTCATATTCCGAATCGAAATCAACCAGTTTTTCTTTGAACTCGGCATACACTGGCGCAGAGTAATCACTTTTCAGATAAAATAAAAAAGAAATTAGGAAATGAAATGAAAATCTGTCAAACAAAAATATAATATTTGCATATATAGCAGTCTCTGTGGTATATATATTCGAGTTTATAAATGTAGATATATGCACATATATGTATGTATGTTTGCATATTGATGTTATGAAAATTTTTTGACATTTAGTTTAGCTCGAAAAAATAAACAGCAAAACATTAGAGAGGCAGCAGCGAAAGGAGGAATCCGTATGCTTTCTAAATAATTACAAATGGTTTTTTGTTATATTTTTTAAAATTTTTCCTGCTGTATTAATATTGCGCTGCTTATAGCATAATAAATTATATTTAATGTGTGTGCCTGTACGTTTTTTAAATGACAAAATAACACAGAAGTACGGGGGTACGGGAATACAGGAGTACGGGAGCACAGAAGCCGAAAAACTGAAATCCTGTGAAGTGAAGTGGAGTAGAGTTGAGTGCAGAGTAGTCGTATAGCTTGGCATGGTTAGGCATGGATATGGTAGAGTGGAACGGAATGAAGTGGAATGGTCTGTAGTGTGGAAGAGAACTCAACTGGTGACATTCCCTATAAATGTCAGTATAATGCGCCATAAGTTGCGCCATTATTTTAAATGTTTACTTTTAATTTATGTCATTTAACATGACTTTGCATATCTGTTCCATCGCAAAGTGTACGGATATGTATTCGAATGACATAAAAGCATTTAAACACGCCATAAAATAATTCATAATAAATCCGACTGTCTCATTCTGGTAATGTATATGAATTTGTTCGTTTGTTCTTGTTTTCCTATTTGCGTTTTCACATTCCCACTTTTGTAGGCGTACCATATAGCCATATACCCATATAGCCATATATGGTAGCCATATAGCCATGTACCCATATATGCTTTATATAAAAATACAGGCTTAAGCCACATTTAAATAGTTGTATCTATTATGGAGGGACCATTTTCATACTTGTGTAATCGTTGGCATTTTTCAACTCACCTGGCATGTTGTGGCCCAACATTTCCCATATCATGTGCTGAGCTGGCGGTGATTTGAAAATCAGAAATGTTGCCGGATTCCATGCCGAGCGGATGTTTGCAGGTGCCTGTAAAGGAAGCATAAATTATTTATACATTTTTATTTATTTTTATGCGTAAGTAAATAAATAAAATATTTATATGAAATAAATATTTAAAATATTCTTTATTACATTCTTCATCTTAATCCATTTGAAACATATTTTAGTTGCAATTTCATAAATAAAAACATAGCACAGATTTTATGCACAGATTTTTTAATTATGAACGAAGTAATTTTCCTCTATAGTCTGTCCTTTCCTTCGATTAAAGAAGCTCGATTAAAGATGTAGAAACTTCATGCAAAAGTAGTTACTCATACGCCTGGGGACACGGAAAAATTAAATTTTGCATGTCCCAATCACTAGAGATAAGTGAGTATGTGTATGTGTATGTGTATGTGTGTGAGCGTTTTATTAGTTACACAAACTTTGGAATAAGTTTAGTTAGCAATTAAAAAGTTATTAACTTATTTATGTAAATACAACCAAATACAAGAAAAACTGCCTGCAGCCTTGAGCATAAATTATTCAATTTGATAGTTGATTTGGCTCTAAAGAAAACACAAGACGATTTACAAACTTCACGAGCTCCATCTATTAACCTGCATAGTAACATAATATATGTAAACAGAATATATGTAAAATTGTAAATAGATTAGTGCTGAGCAGATTTCCTGAAACGAGATTTGTATAATTCATATGTAAATTTGTGCGAAAATAGATAGTAAGGAATGGGGACACATTAAATCATAGTTACAATTATTAAATTAGAAAAGAAATTTTTTAAATTTATTGCATATTTTAATAATATTTAATACCAAAATTGATTTATTTTAAGGACTTGCACGAAAATAAATTATATTGAATGAATAAACTACAATAAGTTCTTTTTTGTTGAGGATGGGGTAAAATCATCCTCAACACTGAGCACTTTCCTCAGTGGTACTAAAGTTTCGTTATAAGCTTATAATATCTAGTTAATATTGGTACTAAAACAAGAAAACAAAAATTTCAGCATTATCTGTAGACTACACTGACAAAAAAGAAGTTTACATCCTCTTCCACCTGGCCCCTTGAATATGTCTGTGCTCTGATTAATATTCTGAGATTCTTTCTCTTGAACTCCATTGAATATGTAGCCAGTTTACCATCAGATTCCTTTACAAAATTTTCAATATTTTCCAAATTTCCATTTCTCGAAGATGATCCTACTTTTGTAGAGAGATCTACTTTTGTAGAGAGAGAAGTAATTCTATAAAGCTAACGTCTAAAATTTCTTGTGACAATTCTTTAAGAGCTTTCATTAAATTAGCTATGAGCCACTAAACACAACTACTATGTGACTATAAAAATCAGTAATTTGTTTAAACAAATTTGTGAGAGCTTGCATTGGCATTATGGAGAATTGTCTGTTCTTAGCAGTTACATTTCCTAATTACTTTCAGAAATTTTGAAAAAGAAATAGTCATGTACAATAAAGAACTGACCGTGACTCTTATGATTAATATTATATTATTCTATGCGAACAAATATCTTTTATTGATTAATGATTATACTTTTATCAAAACTAGAACCAATTCTCCACAAAGAAAAACTTATTCCTGACCACCAATTCGACTTCCGGAAAATATATTCGACCAACAACAAGTCCACAGAGTTGTAAATAAAATAACAAGAGATATTGACTCAAAATATAGCAAAAGTTTTTGACCGCGTTTGGTATGGGGGTCTCCTAACCTAATTATCCTAGCTACTTCCAACAAACTTTTATCTCATACTAAAGAAGTATTTACAATATAGATATTTTTATGTAAAATACCTATAAAGACCCAATCTGCCAAATTAAACAAATTAAAGCTGGTTTGCCTCAAGTAAGCTTACTAGGTTCATTGCTCTACTTGCTATGCACGACTGATATCCCGATACCTTCTGATCCTCAAAGTTAGATAGATACAGCACTAATTGCAGCTAATAAGAATTTTAATAAATCCACAGATAACTTGCAAAATTACTTAAATGCAACACTGGAATGGTTCGACAAACGGGGAGTTCGAATATATACAAGCAAAACAATACATGCTATCTACACGAATAAAAAATATGACCTAAAGCGTATAAAAATTAACAATGATGAAGTCTTCACACACACAAAGGCAAATTACCTTAGCATTACTATAGATAGCAGATTAATTTGGAAAGACCATATCAAAGCTAAAAGTAATGAAATTAAGCGTCGCTTTGAACAATTGTACTGGTTACTCTTTTCAAAATCGAAGCTAACAGTGGCAAATAAACTATTAAACGGTATATTAAACGGTAATCGCACCAATTTGGAAATATGGAGCCGAAATATGGGACACTGCATGCAGATCCAACATACAAATACTGCAAAGACTACAATCAAAATTACTTAGGACTATCAGCAACGCTGACTGCTACATCTCAAACTAGGACATTCATCGTGACTTGAAAGTATCCTTCGTCGCCGACGTTATTCGAAAAAATAGTAAAAATCACACAGATAGATCACTTTCCCATACTAACCTAGCAATGAGGCAGCCACATTTAATAGACGATTGAAATGCTTATATTCATCGGAACTATGAATATAATAATCCATAGCTATCTAATATGTTCATAGTACAATCCTAATCTATTAATTGACTCATCTACTTATGCTAAAATATAATTATCTTATACTATTTATACTATCTATACTATCTTATACTATCATACATATAATTTTTAATATTGATTTAAATTATTGTTTTGATTTCCACTATGTAAAAATGTATACTAGATGCCAAATCATAGCATCTAGTAGAATAAATGAAGGGAGGATTAAAAAAAAGGATGATAATATAATATTCAATATATGCTGGTAGAACTCTCAATCTTGCGGCATGTCACAAGTCGTTCTTTCATTTTCAGTTTCGACACAGCATTATCACTGTACTTTGGCGCTGCTACTGGAAAAAAATGGCAAATTTCTTAGCAGAAATGTGGTTCCATATAGCAATATTTGGGCATGCCAATTGTTACAAAATAAAGTAAAGCCTACTTAGGTTAGCATCAATCTGGATAGTGCTACACAATGTTAGACAGCGCAAGGGTCATTTTGTTTCAAGTTTTTTTAATATTGAATTACGTGTGGCAGGTGCGAATTATTAAAAAAATCGACAAGTATTTTTAATTTTGGAAAAAAATAAACGTTGATGTTCTGAAAAGGTGTGGATAGAATGTATTCACCTTTTACAGAATCAATGATCTGGTGATTAGTGACACTAAATGATGATCAATAAATTCAACTTCATGCTATCAAGCCCTCTGGATAAGGAGACTGCGACATAACTAAAGATCAATTCGATTTCTTTTGTCAAGGTGAGAAAAAGTGCTACTACGCAACTCAAAGTAGCTCTTAAAAGCATTATTTTTTTTGTTTAGACATATATAGATGATTTAGTACCATAATCTAAATGGAAAACTATATTGTGTTTAATATATTCAAGAAAAGTCAATTAAGCAGTTTAAATGCTTGGTATTAGAGATTACTTTTATTAGTTTTTAATGAATAAAATTTAAACAAACAATCGTTTTTATTTTTTATTATTCAATAAAAAATGTTTTGTATTTTTAATTTTGTAAAACAATTCCATATGAATTCCATAAAAGTAACTATATTAGATGGATGGAAATACAATGACCACAGGTATATAAAAACTTTCATTGAAAAGATTATTAGCAAATAATACATACATTACATTCAAGCCTCCAGGCTAGCATTTTTGAAAACACTGACACATTATTCAAAGCTTCCAATGGCACTATGTCTAAGAGCTAACTAAAATTAAACTAGAAGGAATAAGACCTTTCCGCTGCGTATTCGCAATCAAGTGGTCTAGTTTTGTGTGGATGAGAATTGAAAAAAAATGGATATGAAGAAAAAAGGTACAGTCCAAGGTATTGACGTTTCCAAATTAAACCAATTTCATTTGGGAAACGCGTTCACCTAGTTATATGTGTCAATGTAGAAAGCGTGAAGGCGATATCACACCATATTTTAGTTCACTTGCTTATGAGGGGAAAGAAGTGGAGAGCAACAAAACTTGTTGTGTTTTAAAATAGGCTTCTATGAAGTTATTATGCCACTACTTTTGTTTACCTAAATCAAGTATCCAATTAATCACTTCAAAAGACTTCAAGTTAAGAATTTCATAAGTAGATGTGTTTGGTATGGTGTCAGGCTGGCCATATGAAGTCTATTATTTATTTTATGATGACTACTGTGTAACTAAAAAGCAGTTCAAATTATTAAGAAACACCCGTTCGCCAGGATCTGCCCTTTTAAATACATATCTTGGATTTTCGATGTGAGTGAGGGATGCACCATCACACAAAATAACACGACACCCAACAACAACGTTCCACATATAATTTCGGTTAATTACTGCAAATCCGTTGGACTTATCGGAGTGTTACTGTTCTCTAGAAGGCACTTTTCGGATAGTAGCATATGCTTCATTTGTCGACAGGCTTAGAGCTCTTCCATTCCGATTTTAAATCGCTCAGATATTGAGATTTGTATGGTTGGCTTTACTAATAGGTCTAAGTGCTTAAAACCACTTTAGCAGTGAATAGGTCTGCCATAAAAACTTTCACCGAAACATATAATATTGCTAGTTTTCTTTTTTTTATTGTTCATAAGAAAACGAATCTTCCACAACTGGTGTTTAATTATTTATTGTTTTGTTTGTTTTGTTATTGTTGTTTTTCATGCCGGTTGATTAAAACGCGGAGAATACAAGAATATACACGCGAATCAATTAACCGCAACTAAATTAAACTGTTGAAGGTATTTCCTGAGTTTCAATCCACACCTTTTTCAAAATTACTGGATTGCTTCCAATATTACCGGTTGTGCGGCTATGCGACGGTGCGATTATACAATTGTGCATTGAACGGCTTTACAGCAGTCTAATCGCGTTTAAATAAATTGAAATATTATTTTGGTATATGAAAGTTGCCGG